TGCACCGGGTTGATCAGGTTTTGGGGTTGCATTGCTTTCTTAGACCTGATCTCCTAGCACCCTGATCTCTTCTGGTGGCGTGGCTAGCTGCTGTAAAGTGCTTACAGACTCGACTACGCTTCCAAGGGCAGGCCCTTTAGTCCACACTGCATAGTCCCTGACTTGCAGGGAATAAATAGCATCCTCTTTTCTTAAAAGAGGGCAGAAATTAGGGAGAAAATTGCTGCGAAATGTCATCGTGGAGGGTTGTCCTCAGCAGATCAAGGATTGCAGGGCAGCAGACGGATGTCTGCCAGCAGGCGTGGGTCACTGGGCCGGGCTTGCTGCAGGGCAGCGCTCTCACCTCGCAAGGAGAGAGTGCCCTGAAAGGAGTGTTTGGCTAAATTAGAGTGCCTCAGGTGTAGAAGGTCAAATTCACACTGATACCAGGTCACGTGCAAGGCAAAGCTGCGTGATGGTCGCCCGCAGGCACTGGGAAGAGTCTTCTCCTCTGCCACCTGTCCCAAGGGCAGGCAGCTGTTCTTCAGTTTGTCTTCTCTCATACAAACGGTTGGCAGCATACAAAACAAAATTGAGCGGAAGCAAAACTCTTCTTTGCGCGTGTGACTGCTTCGTGTGGATTAAGAGAAACAAACCAGATATCAGCTGCATGGTCTGGAAGGGTGTGGATGAGGGCACTCCGATGTCAGAAAGCTGCCTTTTGCATTCGGGACAAATTAAGCTGTTCTCAGAAGAGCAGGATAGCTTCAGTACTGTATAAATAATCTAATGAAAAGAACAAAAAGTTAATCCCATGCTCCTATTTCTCAGGGTTAACTCTTTTGGGAAATATCCTTCTTGTCTCACCTTAAACTTTATGCTGGGGAATGAGGAAGTGCCTCACTGCTAGAAAACAGAGGTTTTATTCTCCTATTTTCTTCCTCCCCAGCAGCAGTCAGTCCAGTCAGACAGACTCTACGAGCTGAGTTATTGCAATGCAGCTCTAGTACCCTGCCACATGCCCAGGTTTCCTTGCACTGTATCTTGTTACCGATCACCTCCAAGCAGTGCCCGTAGGAATTTGGGCAAGTCACGTGTTTTGGCTTTGCTCGGGCGTTGATCTTGCACCTGGTTCAAATCCAGTGACGGGAATGGCAAGGATGCACAAGGGAGCAAGAGTGGTTTCCGGAGGATACGGAAATGTGAGCCGCTTTGAAAATTTGGTCCAAGGCCTCCCTTAAAGATTATCATCTAATAAACATAGCCTACCAACGAGCCATTTGCCATTGTGCTATAATGACTTCAGCATGTGCTTGTGAGGGTTGTTCATTCCCGCAGTGGGACAGGTTACAAGCTCAAGTGTTTTCAGTTCAGAGCGGGGAGAGCAGTGCGCACCATCCCTTATAGCTGCTCCTTTGTTCCTAAATGCGCTGCCTTGTCGTTCTGCATGGGCGTGAAGCATTTGTAAAACACGTTCATCCCATCTGGGAGATTTTCACTCCTACTGTGTGCTCATGGAAATGACCTCATCCAGCTGAGAGAGGCAGCTCAGTTGCTTTTTCTCGCTGCAATGAGAAGGGTTCACAGCACACAGAACCGTACTCTGGCCACTGAGGAGCTGACAGAAACACTGATTTTAGCACAAAGAGCCCTGAATACATGCTCAGGCAGCTGGAATCCATGTGGGTACAACCATCTGGGATCATTAATTGAGAGCTGGGTTCTTTCCTGTAGAAGATGCTTCTTTCTCCCCTCTTCCTTCAGCAGTTCACGCTATTGGACTACAACCTCGGGAGACTCTCAGTTAATTTTCAGAGTTCACTCTGCATGGTAGGAAATCAGTTCTGGACAGAGGAGTCAAGTTTGTTGCGGGATCTGTGTCCCAGCTGGGAATTCTCTGAAGTTCAGGAGAGGCTTGGAGAAAAGATTCAACGTATGTAGGGTTCACATTCAGTTCTGATTCCGAGTAGGAGCTTCATAACAGCGAGAATTCAGTTGTAAGGGGCCTACAAATATTAGGAATATCTCATGGGTCTCATATTTAGTCTTAATTCCTTTAGAAATATCTCTCTTATATACCATTCAAACTGTGTACAGTATAAGGACAGTTCCAATCCAAAACCCTGTGTCCAAATACTCTCATAACTCTGGGGTCTTCCACATCCGGATAGTATTTAGTGACCAGAATACTTAGTTAGTAATTGCCACCACACCCCCTGTTGAACTGCACCCAAAAAGACAATGTATGCGGGCAGGACAACTGTGTCCAGTGTACACTCACGAGCACTCATCAAAACCAGAGGGGATCATTTCGGTGAAGTGAGGGTCTCCCTGTGCAGCAAGGTGTCGTGGTTTGACCCTGGCCGGCAG